GTGAGATCATACAGTATGCATCCTTTTGTGACAGATCCATTTTACTCCACGTAATGTTTTTCAAAGAACATCCATGTTGTAGCAAGTATAAGGACTTTATATCTCTTTATGGCAGAATAAGGTTGTGTTTTATGTATACCACATTTTACCTATCTAGTCATACCAAAGGCAGCATGGTAGTTCTGTAGGGATAAGTAATGGACTTTCAGCTACAAGGTCAGACGTTCAAGCCCAGAAAAAGAAAGATGTGGCTCTCGCTCATGCAAAAATTTACAGCCTCAGAAATCCCACACAGGATCGCTATGAGTCGGAAATGACTTCACAGCAGTCCTGGCAAGGTGCTGTAGGATAAATAGTCGGCTGCAATGTTGGTTTGAACGGCAAGGTCGGCAGTTCTAATCCACCAGCTGCTCCTCGGAAACTCTATACAGGGTTGCTGTGAGTTGGAACCTAATCGATGACACTTAACAGCAGCAACAATAACAGCAAAGATATCATTCATTGTTCAACAGAAGGAAACAGGCTAAATGCCCGTAAGATTGATTTTGATCTTGGGAGTGATAGTGTGGTTTGATGCAGGCTGTCCAGGTTCTGAAGACCTATGTTTCCAGTTTTCCCACTGTATATCTTAGAGAAGGGAGTCAGAATTCACTTTCTTCCATAGAAGCTGATTAGCCGGTACTACTTCTCTGTACTCTGGTGTTCAGGGACAATCAGATGCTTTTTTACTGGGAACCAGCCTCGACAAATTATTAGGAGGCTCTTGAAGGAGGATGTGGAGTCAGCTGAATGAATTATACGGAGTCAATGGGTTGTTTTGAGTCTCAGGTAGATGATGGTAATGATGACTTTCTCATTACTTCAAAAGTGTTGCTTCTTATATCCCATTTAGAATATACTATGATCTCACAATAGTCACGTACAAGCAGTTACAAATCAATCAAATATTATATTCTTACATCAGAGGTATAAGAGGAAAACAAGGTCATCAAACATTCCTGCGTCTCTACACTCCCTAGCCACTCCGATAAGTCTGTCCTCTGTAAGCGACTCTGTTTCTCTCTAATCCTCCCTAAAATGTCTTAATTTGGCCTTGATTTGTTTTTCTCTAATCCTTTTTAAATGTTAGGTTAATTTTAAACAAGGTTCTACATCTTAACTTCTAACTTTACCAACATCTATTATTTTCCATAGATTCATTAATTACAGCTCACAATCAAAAACATAATTTTAACTATAACTGGTCATACATATAATTGATTTAACAATAAAAACAAGAACATAAAAGTACCCTAAAGTTTCATAGTTAAGAACAAAGCAGTAATTCTCTTATACTAACAATTTCTCAAAACCTCTAATCAAATTTTTACTTCCATTCTTAAGCTCCCGCTGCCCTTGACTATTTTCTAAGCTGCTTTCTAAAGGCTTTAATGTCCTTGACTAAAACTACATGGAATGTTGCTTACAATTTTAAGCTTGAATTGCTGAAACTTTACCTAGTGTGGTTATCTCTAATGTTAAAACTTATTGTTAAAGTAAAAAACAATTTTTATAACTACATAAGATTGAATACGGTGTGAAAGTTAATGTTAATGTGAAAGTCAACTATTATAACGTGAGGTTTGTTTAAAGTATCTAATGATTATGCAAGATTTTCTAAAACTTCTTATAAGGATATCAGAAATAAACTATTTTTCCAAGGAACTAGAAACCATGGAGCCCCTGCATGAAATATCCCTTGTGGCTTTGCCAACCAAGGGGACATTCATTGTCGCTTTGCGAAGCAATGAACTTTTCATGCATAAGGCTTCTTGCTGTTCTGTCCCTTGGCAGGTTGGCGTCTGCCACTTTTTCTAAGACTTTTGTATCTAAATCATGGGAAGGAAAGATGCAGGAGAGTTTAGATTGGAGGCAGCAAGACTCTGGGACCAGGAAGAGAGTGCCTGGGATTCCAGGGCCCAGGGAAAGTCAAGTCCACACAAAGTTTTCGATTTCTAGTGATTTTCAAGTTTAATTCTCTAGCCTTTGCATTGACTATGTTACCTGTTGGATATTATTTTAATGAATCCTATTCTCTTTCACTTAGACAGGGACCATATCCACAATTCACAAATGTCAAACAAACCTGAGTTAGTCATTTATATCTATGGCTGGATAGTTGTCTACTAGTAACTGGGATAATTGTTAAGTGCTGTTGAGTTGTTCTGACTCATTGCAACCCTAGTATCACTAGGGTGTGGTGATGCAGGATAATGCACTGGACCCCAAGATCTGTTTGAACCTCAAGGTCAGCCGCTCCTTGGAAACCCTAGACAGGATTGCTATGAGTTGAAACCGATATGATGGCACTTAACAACAACAACAACAGAAGTCTTTAGCCACCCATCTAAAATTTCAGACTAGTCAAGTCAATGAAATCCCCTGTTTGATTGCAGTGCTTAGCTGGGTGTCTGCTTTCCTTCTTCCACAGAATCTTCATGGAGACTCCTGCTCATGGCAACCCCTTTGTTGATGAGTGGCTTCTCAGAGCTCTAGTTTACTGTGTACATTAGCTGTAGACTCTGTGACCTGGACCTGGACGGGAGGTCTGAAAGTCAAGTGGCCTGAGTAATCTCTGTGTTAGGGTCCTGCCTGCGATCCTTTGGCACCTCTTCTTATGCCCCCGACTCATTTGGTTCACCTGACATGTAAACTGGTCTTGCTGCCAAGTCCAGCAATGTGTTATGTCAGATGGACGTTATAGAATGCTTCCCTGGCAGTTTTAGTTCTACATCCCTCTAGCAGACTCAACAAAACCTATCACTGGAAGACCTAAGCTACGGAGCTCTATTCTAACATGATATCCAGGCATTAGAATCGACTGTTGCCAATCGGCAACAACCACTGGTCTTAGTTATAGGAGAATGTTTCTCGGTATATCTGTAAGTTTGCCTTAGAGAAAAATTAAGAAGGAAACAGAAATGTGCTTCATTTATAAAACAAAATGCAAAAATGGATTCCAATGCCAGAGACGCTCTTTCTTGTGAAATCTGTTGTGGTCATTAACTTTTCTCTGATCATCTGTTAGTCATGATCAGTTAAGTGACCTAACATTTCTCACTTGTAGGCTCTGCCTCCCTCCCCAATTCATTTGTGGGACACTCAGAAGGCTTGGTGGAAGGAGTCTCCCCCTCATTCTTTCAGCAAGCACAGTGCTATTTCTACAGAAGGGCTGCAAGAATTCTAGCTAGTCTGTGTTCATTCTTCCTCTGATACTTTGGAAACTCATTTGCTTTTGACCCCTCTCTGTGTTCTCTTGCCAGGAAAGAGTGATCCTTTTTGCCTATTGGAGCTAGGCAATGACCGACTTCAGACACACACCATTTACAAGAACCTCAATCCTGAGTGGAACAAAGTTTTTACATTGTAAGTGCTTTAGCCTCTGCACTATCAAGGGTGGATTTAATTTAGAAACAATTACCCCTGATTTGCTTGGCATAGGCTAGGACTCTAGAGTGGAACTGTTTGTCCATTTTTTATGTGCAGAGAGTGAATTGTATTGTTTTCTTCTTCTGAAACCCTTTTATCCTTTGATTTTATAAAGTGGGCTGTTAATAATAGAAGGGATCATTTTAAACTGCGAGGAAGTGTTAGGAGGCATTTGTAAAAGCGATCTTTTATAAGCTAAAGTAAACTGTAAGGATAGGGAGTCATCTGTGTATCCAAGTTAATTTGCTCTTGGGTTACAAATGGAGACCTGCCTTAAACTCAAGCTTGTGTGTTTTAAGATTATTTCAAAGCCCAGAGGCTAGTATTCTTATACAGTCTTTTGGAAAATACAGATTGACTATGAATTCTCAAAGATGCCCAAAGACTCCCTGTCCTCCAGTTTATTTGAGTGACTAGCCTATTCTTCAAACTCTTTCAAATTCAAGCAATAGAAAACTGGATATATTTATGTTTTCTGGCTTGCCTGGAGTTCCTGAGTGTTACAAATGGGCTAATCTGCTTAGCTGCTAACCAAAAGGTTGATTCCTGAGAAGAAAGGTGTGGCAATTGACTTGCAGAAAATTCTCCCATGTAATCACCATGAAGCATAATTCTACTGTAACACATGTGGGGTCAGGATCCATGCGGCAACAACTATTAAAAAAAAAAAAAAAAGTAGTTTTATGTTGTGAGTCATGTGATCACTCAGGGCAGGCTTTCTGTTGTCTTTGGGTGAAACAAGGTACGTTCTCATAACTGAAGAAGTGCACTCTACAGTATCTTCAGAGACAGAATTGTCAATGAGAGGATTAGCATCATTTGAATAGTCTGTTGAAATGATGGAAAGTGTTCAAGAATCTGTAAGAACTGGGTTTGCTCTGCTGAGCAGGTTCACAAATGGTCAACGGCAAGTTGTTGCTTGCCCAACATCTTGCCACTGACCCAGACCTTTTTTACTGTGGCTGTGATCTAGCTTCTCATCAGCAAAAATCATGTTTCCAAATAGGCATGAGATCTTGAGTATTTTACGTCTCAGTAAAAACAGGTTTTCTAGGTAGCTCACTGAATACTGATTTTGACCACTTTAAAATATGTAAATGTGATTTTTCATGTATTCAGAGTAAAGAGAGTACTATTTTGACTGTCCTCATTTGGAAACTACTTTGCAATCACTTTCTTTATATCCTCTTCCTTCTGCCTCCCTTTCTGTCTGTTTCTTTAACAGTCCTACCCTTGAGTGCATGCATATAGGGAAAATGTCACCGTAAAAAAGTTGACTTTTTTTTTTTTTTATAAGGATATTTGAATCTTCTATGATGGAAGGCTTGGGAATACAGTCAGTTTGATTTAATTTTTGGAATTTAATTAAATGGTAGTTTTATACTCCAAGGCATACAACTTAATTAGTGTTTTCCGATCTTCATGGAACAGACTTCATTTGTGGGTTTTGTGTATAATACACAGTGTGTTTCTTCTTTCAGCCCCATTAAAGATATCCACGATGTTTTAGAAGTGACAGTGTTTGATGAAGATGGAGATAAACCACCTGATTTTCTTGGAAAAGTTGCCATTCCCTTGTTGTCTGTAAGTTCCCTTTGTGAACAAACAATTTGTGAGTCATTTTACAGTTGACAGGTTCCTAGGGTCTAGAGTTACTTTATCTTCATCAGTCTACAAGGGAAAAAATAATCATCCCAGTTATTGCAAGGAACAACTTTTATATCTTATCCCTATCTAGCGTTGATTGGTGGCACAATCATTGAGCTCTTGACCGTTAATCAAAAGGTCACTGGTTCAAACCCACCCATCACTCCGTGGAAGAAGGTTGTGGCAGTCTGCTTCTGTATCTGGAGCCTTGGAAACCCTACAGGGAAGTTGTACTCTATTCTGTAAGGTTTTTTTGTGTCGAAAAGGACTCATGGCTGCAGATTTCGGTTTATCCAGTATTTTCATCAGTTTCAGATATAAAATTAAATACTTTTCTCTATGTTTGTGTAGTATTGAGTAAACTAACCAAGCATTTTGGCTAGATTATGCATCATAACTTGGATGTTTATGTTTGATTTTAAGGAATATATATGTATATCAGTTTAAACAGCAAGGTTGGTGGTTCAAACCTACAGCCACTCATTTGTGGCAGGGTCATTATGAGTCATTATGACAGCTCTCAACGACAATAATATATGTATATAAAATATGTATAATGTTGTTGTTGATGATGATATATACTATGGTGGTAGCTGTGTGCCATTGAGTCAGTTCCCACAGATAGTGACCCTTTATTGGCTTTCTGAGGCTGTAAATCTTTATGGGAGCAGAAAGCCTCAACTTTCTCCCATGGAGTGACTGGTAGATTTGAATATATATGGAATCCAGGGAGCACAGTGGATTGTTAGCTGGGCTGCAAACCACAAGGTTAGTAGTTCGAATCTCATAGTAGCTCCATGGGAGAAAGATGAAGATTTCTGCTTCTGTAAAGATTTAAGCCTACACAGGATTGCTATGAGTCAGAACCGACTCGGTGTCCCACCAACACCTTATATATATGTGTGTTGTTAAGTGCGATCAAGCTGATTCGTTTGTACTCATAATGAGAGACTGATAATGATTAACCTCCAAAATTGTGGTTCAAACTAACCATGAGATCCAGTGTTTGTCCCACAACATTATACCAGGTGTGTGTGTGTATGTGTGTGTGTGTGGTTAAATGCCGTTGAGTCAGTTCCAACTCGTAGTAACCCTCTATAGCATTTCTGAAAGAGTACATCTTTGCTAGGAGTCCTGGTGTGGCCCGGTAGTTACCCTACACTGGACTGCTAACTGCAGGGTCGGTGGTTCAAACTCACCAGTTGCTCCTTGAAAACCCTATACAGGGTCACTATGAGTTGGAACTTATTAGACAGCACTTAACAACAACATCTTTACAGAATCAGAAAGCCTCATCTTTCCCATGGAGTGACTGGTAAGCTCAAAGCACTGATCTTGTGTATCTCTGTCCACTGTTTACCCTACAGAGTCACTGTGATCATAGATATGTTGATGTTAAGTACTGTCGAGTTGGTTCCAATTCACAGCGACCTTGTATAGGATTTCCAAGGAGTGGCTGGTGGGCTTGAACTGCCGATTTTGTGGTTCAAACCAACCTTGCGGTCCAGCATGTATATACATGCAGATATAGATATAGATATAGATATATAGATATAAATAATACATAAGTATCTGTGACTGATTTTTCATTTAGTAATGAAAAACACAACATGTATTTCTTTATACCTCACTGAACATTTCTTCAAAGATTAATTACTTGTAATTATACATTTTTGTCAGTACTGCTAAAGACCATTTTCCCAAAAGTTCTTTCTTTTTAGTAGTAGTCATATTTGCTCTCATCCTCAAAAATGACTTTTTGAAAGAAAGCAGTGATTCTCTCGTAGATAAAGTAAGCTGCTTAAGTTCCTAGCACGAGCTGATACATCACCGTCACCTAAGAGAAGCTGATGCATAAACTTCTTAAACTAATTCAAAGAAGAAAATGTTACTCATTGCCTTTATATGAGAAAAGTAGGAAATTTGAGATTGAAATTTGCCGATTAATTGGACATCAACGTTCGTTACAAATGTACTCTTCTAGAAGACAGAATTTCAGTTTTTTATCCAACAATTAATACAATTGGTTGCATAATCCTTGTGGTACTCATTGACCAATGAGGCTTTACAGATTTCTTCCCAAAGACAGTTTTCCAAGGTGATTAGGACCTTCCCGTAGCTGGAGTAGTCTGTAATGTAACCATGAGATTAGTCAGGCTCGCATGGTGTTTACAGAGGGGGAAATGCAACACTGCTAACATCTCTTTATCTGGTTTGGATTGCTTTCTTAATATCTCCCTGCATTCTCCTATCCCTGATGTTACTTCAGGAGAGTGGCTGGAACAGCTGCTCCCTCACAGATCCTGCTCCTGCATAGCGTCCCCCGTGTCAACAAGGGCAGGTGGGCTCTCAGAGAGGATGTGGTGATTTGGGATTTCTTTTCTTCTTCTTCTTCTTTTTTTTTTTTTCTTTGCAATGTCAGTTATTCCAAAATGAATACCCACAACAAAACTGCTGGGCTCAGTTTTTGAGTACTGAAGAGAGAAACAGTAACCTCGTGCACTCTCTCTCTATGACATTTCTCGTTTTATTTTTTATAAATACTTCAGAAGCCTATTTCATTTATTGCTGCATGACAGCTAGCTACTTGGTGTCTTTGTAAACCTCCTTCTGCTTTGTATATAAAAGTTTTGTGTATTTTGTTTTCTGTCATTGCTTTCTTCTTTTCTTCCTTCTTTGTAATGTTTAATGTATGTGCTATTGAGCTAGAATGAAGAAATTTTGGTGTTGAAGGAGACTATTGAAAGTATCATGGACTGCAAAAAGAACAAGTAGATCTGTGTTGCAAGAAGTATAGCCAATATGCTCCTTAGAAGCCAGGATGGACAGACTTTGTCTCTCATACTTTGGACATATTATCAGGAGGGTCCCGTCGCTGGAGAAGGATATTATGTTTGGTAAACTGGAGGGTCAGAGAGAAAGAGGAAGAGCCCCGGTGAGATGGATTGGCACAGTGGCAGCATCAGCGGGCCTAGGACCAGGCAGTGTTTCATTCTGTTGTGCAGAGGATCGTGATGACTCAGTATTGACTCGATGGCATTTAACAATAACAACGCCCAGTCAGGGTTCTCAAACTTAGCACAGTTCACATTTTGGGACAAATACTTTGTGGGTAGGACTCTCCCTCCAGCACTTTGTAGGGTTTTTAGCAGATTCCTTGACCTCTCCTTATTGGATGCCAGCAGCAAATCCCTCCTCCACCACTTTTAAGACAATTGAGAATGTCTCCAGTCATTTTCAGATGTCCTGTGTGGGGCAAAGTCACTGCCAGTGGAAAATCACTGAGCTAAATTCATATGTTTCCGAAGACATAGTCTTCAGAGCATGAGGCAGAGGGATTTGGGACAGACCTGGTTTAACTGCAAGCAGCATTTCAGCATTTCAGTGATTAGAATGCTAACATTGGATAGTTCAGAAATACAGCCATGATGATAAGCACTGCACCAACATTGCAGGATCGAGTTTTGCAAGACCAATGACCTATGTCATGGAAGTCACTTTTCCAACAACGTCAATGCAGACTATACTCTTGAGCCTTATCAGGTGGAATAAACAGGAAGGAATCAGATGGGCTAAATCTGTGGGAAGAGAAGCTCAATATGATCAGTCAGAAGAAAGCTAGCAGCTGACTGTAAGATAGGTCATCAGTTCCTCATATGCAAGTTCAAGTTCAAGCTGAAGAAAATTAAAGCAGGTCCACAAGAGTCAAAATAGGACGTTGAGTCTATCCCACCTGAATTAGACACCATCTAAAATATAGATTTGATGTATCAATGCTAATAACTGAAGACAAGAAGTTGTGAGATGACATCAAGGACATCATCCATGAAGAAAACAAAAGGTCATTAAAAAGACCTCTTGACTAATTGCGATTGTTACATCTGTAAAAGTAAAAATTTTGTAACATAAAGCGGGGAGTAATAATCTTACATTTCAGGAATAGAGAACCCTAGCACCATCAAGGGAGAAGCACATGAGCAAAATGTGGGACCCTACCGAGAGAAGCAGAGACACCAGAGATGGAGTCAGAGATGGGGACATGGAGAGAAAGAGTAGCTGAGGACTCTAGACTCATGGAAAGAGAGGGACTGGGTACTGGCAGCCAGGAGACAGACATGCAGAATGTGCTCTTGGGTTTTACTTAATGATTGTTTTTGTGTACATAAAAAACAAACAAACAAACAAACAAAAAAACAAAAAAGAGAGGGAATAAAAGCAGATACTGTTGAATGCTGATGCATGGAGGGGATTGTAATCATCGCAATGAAACAAAATATGATAGGATGAGTGTAAAGCTGATGTTGTCCCATGTGAACTATTATTCAATTCACAACAAAAACTTAAAAAAAGAAAAGACAGGAAAGAAAGAAAAGACCAGATTGGATGTCAGAAGAAACTCTGAAATTTGCTCTTGAATGTAGAGAAGCTAAAACAACTGGAAGAATGAATGAAGTGTAAGAACTGAGCAGAAGATTTCAAGGAGCAGCTCCCCAAAGAAAGTCAAGTATTATAATGGAGGTGCAATGATCTGGAATTAAAAGGCCAAAAGGGAAGAACATTCTCGGCATTTTTCAAGCTGAAAGTACTGAAGAAAAAATTCAAGCCTCGAATTCTATGTTTGAAGGAAAACTATTGAACGATGCAGGAAACACCAAAAGAAGATGGAAGAAAGGATGACTGTAAAGCTGTTGTTCTCCCATGTAAACTATCACTCAATTCACAATAAAAACTTTTTTTAAAAAAGGAAGAAGAAGATGGAAGGAATCCTCTATTTATGGTTCAGAGAGTCTTCATGGACTCAGTATCAAAAAGAATTGGTCAACATCCAGCTATTTCAGGAAGTAGCATGTAGTCAACAACTGAAGAAAAAGTCCAAGTTGCACTGAAGGTGTTAGCCAGAAGGCTTCAGGAATTGACAGAAAACCAATTAAGATGTT